TGTTTCACTGGATTGTATCAGTGATGAAGGTGAAATGAAATAGATAAGTGACATGATGTAAGTGAAACGTGATCAGAACAAAACATGATAGATATGAAACACTTGATGTAGTTGTAATTCATCAAGTGATGGGATCAGTTATAGTACAGGGTCAACAACAAATGGCTAGACAAAGAAAAGAAACCCCCCCCTCCTGTAAGGCTGTAACACTGAGGAAGATCCGTGATGAAGTCCATGGCGATAGATTGGAATGGAAGATGATGTTCCATTGTAATGGGTACTAGGTCTGGGGTGTTTCTATGTGTGATGACCTTGTTTTCCTGACAGATTGTGCAACCAGTGACATATTCATTGACATCTCGGGCCAGAGTAGGCCACCAATAGGTTCTTTGGAGAATCTCCTGTGTCTTGTATTGTCCAGGATGTCCTGTGGTAGGAGAGTCATGGGCTTCCTGTATGAGATTCTGTTGTAGTTTGGTGTCCTTGGGTATGTAGACTTGTCCTCTGAATACCAATAGATCATCTTGGATGTCCCAATTGGGAGGAGTGCACTTGTTGGTGGATGAGGTGTGCTGTAATACTAACCGAAGTCCATGATCTGCGATGCTGTCTTTAGATTTGCAGGTCAAGATGCATTGTTTGATGTCAGTGTTGATGGGTTCGAGGTTCTGAATGGCTTGAATGAAGACTTCTGATGGAAAAAGGACTTCTTCCACAGGAAGTTCAACCCCCCCCTTCAGATGTATCTTGATCAATACGTGATAGTGCATCTGCCTTACCTAATCGGGTTCCAGGGACGTGACGAAGGCGGTAATTGAACATGGATAGGTACAGAGCCCATCGTGCTTGTCGAGGATTCAATTTCTGGAGATCTTTGAAATACATCAGATTCATATGATCTGTCAATACTTCCACTGGTTCAGTGCATCCCTCAATGTAGTGTCGCCAGGCTTTGAAACATCTGATGATTGCCAGAGTTCTCGATCATAGATTTCGTATGTTGTTCTATGGGAGGGAACAACTGGGATAGGAAAGCACATGGATGCCATCTTCCATCAGATTGTTTCTGAGAGAGAATACCACCAGACGCTTTCAGGGAAGTGTCAGATTCTATTTGGAATGGTTTGGTGACATCAGGTTGTACCAGAAGTGGTCGAGTTTTGAAGCATTCCTTGAGTTGATTGATGGCCTTATCATGATCATCAGTCCAACTCCATTTGATCCCTTTTACTAATAGATCAAATAGAGGTTGTGCAATTTTAGAGTATCCTGGAATGAACCGTTGGTAGAAGTTGGTGAACCCTAGGAATCATTGTAGTGCTTTAACACTGTCAATCTTTGGCCAATTTAGTACTGCTGATACCTTGTCTTCTGCCATTCCTATCTGTCCCTGGTCAAAGAATGAATCCTAGAAATTCAACTTCTGATATGTCAAAGAAGCATTTTTTGGGCTTGAGGAATAGATCTGATTCTTTTAACCGTTGGAGAACCAATTGAGTACGTTGCTGATGTTCCACATGATCGGTGGAATAGATGAGAATGTCATGAATGTAGATTACTAGCCATCCTTCCAGCAGTAGATCCGCAAAGATTCTATCCATCATAGCTTGGAAAGTTGCTGGGGAGTTAGTCATTCCAAAGAACATGACAGTTGGTTTGAATAAGCCTCGTAGAGTGATAAATGCTCCTTTTCATTCGTCGCCCTTTTTGATGTGTACATTGTTGTATCCTGCACGCAAGTCAAGTTTGGTGAACATTGTTGGTTTGGCAGAGGTGACGCGATCTAACAGATCTTCTACTGTTGGTATTGTTACAGCCTTGTGGGGGGGGTTTCTTTTCTTTGTCTAACTATTTGTCATTGACCCTGTACTATACCACTGATCCCATCACTTGATGTATTTCACCTATATCAACATTTCATATCTATCATGTTTCCTGTCGATCACGTTTCACCTACATCGTGTTACATATCTATTGCATTTCACCTTCATCACTGATACAACCCAGTGAAATCTGTTTCATGTATATCACTGATCCAACTCAGTGTTTCATACTTATTAAACTCTATTTGCTTAGTACTATTTAAGTAGCTCTACTTATGCTACTGTACTTTAGTTTTGTCCTCTTGTTCCCTACGTACCTTCATAGG